CTCATAAGAATGTCTAAGAAAAATGAATCAGCTACTGAAAGATGCATAGTGCGACTAGATGCAACAGCAAAAAATTGGGTTTAATGAACGGAAAAATTGAACATGATAGACGGAAAAACGTCCCTATATGCCTTAAGACAGAACTCGTAACCAGACCGAAATCATTGGATGTAAAGGTAAGAAGTAGAGAAATCCTCTGCTGTAGTAGGTAACATTATCGCCAGCCTCCAGCCGTGAACTTAATACGTTACCAGACATCTCACCGACAACGTAATCGACATCGTCAGCGAGTCTTACCAGTCTTAGCGACAAGCTCCAACTCTTCAAATAGATAAGTTGTCGATCAAATGACTGGCTTCTGAACAGTTGTGTCATCACTTCTGTCCTTGCACATTTACCTACTTCCAGCAATAGCTCTAAAATCAATCAAATTAACAAACTAAGCGAATAGGGAGGAAAACATTTAAGATACTATAAGTGCTGTATTTATTTAGCGAAGTTCAAAGTTCGTATTATGGATATTTTTATTTTTCTCATAGAGCATCTTTATAGGATTTCTACTTGCTTCCAATATCTAGTGACTAGTTCCATTTCAGGTGGAAAAAACCCCCAGCTGAATATAATATGAAAAAATGAGATTGTTTTGGTTACAGTGATTCTACTTGAGTAGAGGGGTGTTTTGAACTTGGTATGTTATGGCAGCGAAAAACATCCTGGACGCAGATAAATCCTTGAAGGCACTGAATATTATACCTTTTTCAACAAGAGGTAAAGATTTTTCGGTACTTGCGGTGAACTTTTTTGAACCCTATCTAGCATTGCTAAGAAAATAGAATCAAACGAATATAGTGGATAACTTGCATGTATACATCAATTATAAATCAGCCCAGATAAAGCCTGAAATAAATCGGCACTGAGTTAGTGTTTTAACATTGCCCTTAAGTGCAGAACTAGAGGACTCGAACGCATTGACGCTTCAAAGGAATTCGAATTTATTCAATCATCAGTTAAGAATACCGATTATATATCAGTAACGAGACACATGCTCATTGAGTCTCTTGTAACCCACTAATTCTCATCACCATGTGATATATGAAGGGTCACTTTTTATCTCGCAAAAATCGAAACCGCCGTACAAGAACTTTTGTCCCCTAAGTCACTCGAATCTGATAGTTTAATTTTTCGCTCATAAGTAGAGTTAAGATAATTGATATTTTAATTTCCTACAATGAAATCAGTATGTCTCACGATACCATTGGATTTTTCATCAAGAATGGACATACTTTCGAGCTCACCTAGTCGTAGCATCCAGAGGCAACGTTTCCACTTCGCCATAAAGTTAAGGGGTAAGTACGCCCGCCATAGTGAAGATATGACTTCCAAGATAATCCAGAACCCTCCTAATTCTAAGGCTTGTAAAGAACAAGGCTGAGGGAAATTCAATAAGATCGTGAGATTAACTCATTTTATCATGGGGATTTCAAGCTGTAGGCTGTATGATTTTAAGCAATCTGACAAGACTAACGTTCTTTTTAAAAGTCAAAGGATGGCAGAACGTAATAGCAATTATAAGATTGGTTTTCCGTTTATAACTAGAGTTTCGAGACTTCCAGTAAATCAGTTATATAAAATGTGTTCACCCTAATTAATTTAAGATGATGAAGAAATGGTAGTTGAATTTTCCCACAAGCATATGAGTAGAGCTGACGCTTCCATTAAATTCCACATAAGCTTGCTTCTCCAGATGTTCTGATTTAGGCTGAAGTGGACTGCAGCTTCGACCTCGCCTAGGTCTTATCTTCCCCATAGCGGATGGGATTAATTGTATAAAGTATTCATTAGATTAGGTCGAGAGAATTATTTTAATTTGCATTAAATGATTTATACTGCAGCGTCAAATGAATACATGGCACTCATCGATCTTGAAGAAGTCATGATGAATTTCTGAGCATTTAAAAGGCGCTTAAATGTAAATTATCATTATAGGTACCATTCCAGACGATCCAAAAGTCACTTGTAATCCATTTAACCGCATTTAAATACTAGAGTTAAACTAAATTCAAATGAATGCATAGTTTAAGCTTCATGTGAATTAATCTGCACTTACTTGTCAGGGTGGCTTCCCCAAATTCAAGACAAATAACCATTGATGGACTAACCGACAAACGGAGGTAGTAGTAAGCTGCTTAAACAAAAAGCATGCAAAAAATTAAGTAAACTAAATAAACCTGGCTAAAGTGTCATTCATTTACCTTGGGTAACATATCACTCATGAAAGATTGTCCTCCGAAGCCCGGTTCTACAGTCATAACAAGAATCATATCAACGTTTTCGACGAACGGTAAGACGGCTACAGCTGGAGTGCAGGGCTTGATTCCGAGCCCCACCTGAAAAAAATAGATTAACCTGCCAGCAGATAAGTATAGTACGACAAAGTCTATATAAAGAGCTCCTCTACTATATATATATATATATATATAGACAGAGAGAGAGAGAGAATAAACTTTTAAGACCAGCATTCCGAATTAAACATCAAAAAGAAAACAATCAGGGTGTATTGTGGCCTAATGGATATGTCGGAACAGGACGGTTAAATATTATTTGATAGGCTTCTAATAACAGCTCATCGTCCAGAGACCCAGGTTAATCCCAAAAATTATTGTTTTAGGTGAATGTTTCGTGAATAATGGTTTTGGGCTCCGAAGATGTCTGTCACGTAAAAAACGTAAGCTGAGCATGGAATTATCTGGGCCGAGGATGATAGGTTGATGACTTTTTCGCAGAAGCCTAAGACGGTGGAGCCAGACAATGAATATCCTTTATTCACACTTTCAGAAAGAATATAAGCCATATCAACATCCTGAAGTTAAGCCGCAAAATATTTGTTTTCTGATCTGAGAAATATGTTTAAAATCTAAAATATTTTCGCTGATAATTCCTTGTGCGAAGCGACTTAATTACGGGAATTCGAACTACGTAGAATTTCGAGGCTATCAGTAGATCTTGAATAAGGACTTTGGCCACCATAAGTGGCTTAAGGTGATAAGGGATTGGTAATAATGTTTTCCCACAAGTAGATAAGTATGCCTCAAGGTGTAATTTAAGTTCACTTAGCCTTGCTTCCAAAATGTATTCTTACTTAGAGCTAACTAGTTTCGACCTTGCCCAGATGTCATCAGCACTTCCAATGGGAATTGAATTCTGGTAATGCAGTGTAGAATTTCGACATGTTACCATAACGCCATTGCCACAAGCACCAGTAGGTCACAGGGTATACGTGAATCCCTAAGCAAACAAGGCCCCTTTAATATCATAATTTTGTAGAGTATTGTCGCTGAAGTAAGCACGTAGTTGCCATCACAGTCGGTAAAGCTATTTGTGTTATAATTAAATGATATACAAAGGCTTAATTTATTTTAAAAATTTACTAATGGCCTGTTAATGACTGATACTCGTAGTAATGGTGTAGTGGTAAAATCTCAGAATTATAAAACGCACTACTCGGGCTCGAATTCTGTTGAAACTGATGATACCTAGACAAGATCGAAACTACAATCCACTCTGGATGAGAATATCTCTTGAAACAAGACCCAGTGAAATTCAATTGCATGGTGAGGCCTACTCATCTTATCGTGGAAAAATTCATTATCATTCCTCCATTACCTCGAGTCACCTAAGGTGATCTATCCATCCGCAATTCTAATTTCTGTAGCTAAATCACTTCGCACATGAAATTCCCGTCAAGGGATTTTAGGGGTTAAACTTATTTCCCAGATCAGCAAGCAAGAACTTTGATGCTTAAATTAGTATAATTCGGCTATAGGAGGTAATTTGGGTGCTCAAAACATGAAATTCATTATGTATACCAGATAATAAGAATGAGGTTACTACGGTGCACTAGCTGAGCAGATCTATGTTAAATTTAGCATACTATTTCTCAATAACTTGCAAATGATCAAAACCTTAATTAAAGTTACTAAAGTTTCATCGTTTGTATGTACATTATTTAGAGCCAGGCTCACATTTTTAACCTTAAATATTCGCAAGACAAAATTTTCGTTCTTCCTATTTAAAAGGACAATTAGCTTGACATAAAGCCTATTGATAGACTTAACTATTAAATGCCTTCACTTGGGCATAATCATTTTCTAAAATTACCATATTTGTATGAAATGCAGTAAAACTTTACGAGCAAAACAATAACCCGTGCAGCTAAGTGAATAATCGCCACCAACCTTCATACCAGCTTCGCGAATCAGTCTAATGCATTTTTTTGGATCACTTTCTGCCTCTAGGTGAAAAGTGTACTGGCTGGCTCCTGCCTTTGCCATCGGTTGGATCCACTGAAGAACAGGAAAAAATAAAGGCAAGAATAGGAAAGAGAATAAAAGTAATTAACTAGTTTACTCTATAACGATGTAAGTTTTAATGAGCCATAATGTAAAGCAAGTTAAGATTTTTTAAGCCTTTGGGTATTAAGACTTAGAACGCGAGCTCATTAGCTATTCATGAAGGTTGCCAGTTAAAAATATCTTAAATAAAAATGAGGTGAAGTCTGCATGCTGGAAAGAACGTATTAAGATTGACCTGAGTATATCACAAGTGTAATTCTTAGGTTTTAGCCCCTTAAAGTTATGTTCTTCTATTATGCTCAATGGGTGAGAATAAACTAGTTAAAATCGAATAATAGACACCTGAATTGGGTTGGCAACCATCATGTGAAGATCAAGAAAAGTGCCCTCTTGTAAATGTTTGTGTAAGCACGAAACAACAGGATGACCAAATGTTATATTTGGAACGAAATGGCCATCCATAACGTCGAGATGAAGGTAATCAGCGCCAGCATCCAAAAGACGCAAACAGACAGAAGATAGGTCTGAAAGATCCGCGCCGAGGATGGAAGGCCCGATTAGAACTTTAGGAGTAGAACAAAGCATCTAAACAGAATAAAAACACAATATCAAGATATATACATCAGTATCAAATGAATAAAGGGACTATCGTCACCAAAATACTCTTATGAAGAAGGCTATCACCTCAGACAAGTAGACTAGGTATATAATAGGAGACCAGATACCGAGGAATTAAGGGCTAGAAATTCCAAGCTGAAGTCAACTAGTCAGAAAATACTGTAAAGTTTATTGTAGTCAAATTTGGAAAATGTAGCATATCATTGATGTTTAAGGAGTTTTACACAAATTGTTATGCTAGATTTTTTATAATTACGTAATAAATAAGCAAATGGGTGTATTAGATAGCTTAAAAGACCAACAAGAGTAAACAGAATTAAGAGAATACACGAAAGAAGACGAGATGTTATGAAAAGCGGCTTTAATTGTATAAAGACAAATGATTCATTAAAACAATAAAAACCAAATATTAAAAAATTGTTTAACTAGTATAAAAATAACCAAAAATCTATTTAAAATAATATTTACAACACTATCTTATAGAGAGATTATTCACATATAGATTATTGGATTATGAACCCTTATACTGCCTTTCAAGAAATAATGTGATTTAATTAAGCTTTTGGAAAATTTATCTTACCTCTTGAGTTATATACATAGAGATTTGAAAAATATTAAAGTATATCAATTTTGTATATAATTTCATACTGATGCTACGCTCTAAATTGCAATGACTGAGCAGAGCGCCTAGGCTCTAATTCCTATGCTTGCAGATATAAAGCCTTCCCTATATGAGTCATATCCTTGATTAAACCCATGTTATCTAAGCAAACTGTGTATGCCTATCTCTGGTCGCATGCGGCATCTCAAGTGGATTTCTAGTTCATTTTAAGCATAACGCCGAATTTCCTTGACGGTTTGCTTATCCGTCTGCCCAGCATCCAGACTGCCAAGCCCCCAAAGTTGTACTGGTTTATTGAAAATGGCCCTTACTCACTCACAACGTCTTTGCTTTATTGCCAAAAACTAATGCCCCCCACTTTCTTCATCGCGATCCCTTTTCCTCTGGTTAGCGGTAGGTCGTTGATACAATGGTCTGCTTTTTGTTGGTCTTGCTCTATTCTTGTTTTCGTCGAGTTTGCTTAGGTATTAAAGAAAGTTATCGCTAATTCTAACTTCCTTTAATCTACTGTTTATTAGATTTTTCTCCCCTAAAATTTCAATGGCCTCCCTTATCCTCCGCTTCCTTGCGTTGTCACTGTATGGAGCTCTTCTTTACGTTGCCTTCCTATTGATCTACTATCAAGTCTGTGCAATGTGTTCAACTAGTTCTGATCTTTGAGTTTCAATTTAACTACAGAGCCTTTCCAATCTGCTTCCTCACTATATTTATGTTAGCAGGCGCCGCATTATGTATAGTAAACTTCTGAATATTCCTATTTATCTACCCTTGCATGTTGCGTCGAAAGACTTGTGAAAATTGTAGATTTCTCTTCCATGGCCACCTGAATATTCTATTTACTCAATATTAGCCATAGTCTTTAAGTTAGTTCGCAGGAAAATAGGCATATCCACTTTTGTGAATCCTTCAACTGTTCTGTCATTGGCTTTTCACAGACCGTACATGAATCGAAACTTACCAATATGTCAGTTTCTTCCACTGCCATATTTTTAATTTTATGTTAATTTGTGTGTTGCTCCATAATTGTTGTGGCTCGCCTTCTTTCTGTATCTTAGGTAATTCACATACTGTTGGTGGTCATGCCCCCTTTCTTATAATTGAATTGCTTGTTCATACGTAAATTTCTCTATTCCTATGCATATCTTTCAGCTTGTCACTTAAGTTTCGATTGATATTTAGGGAGCTGAGCAGACAAATAAGCATACCGTTACAAAAATTCAGCTTTATAGTGAAAATTTCCTAGAAATATAATTAAGATTCTGCATATGACCAAAGATAGGCGTCGATTGTTTGCTAGGATACCATGGGTTTAATCAAGGAGAGGACTCGTGAAGGCAAGGCCTGATACCTACAAGCGTGGCAATCAGAGCTTAGGCGCTCTGCTGATTAAAGTGGCAGTGTACATTTTTCTGGGTCCTTGAAAAATAGCGCATCTACGAGACAATGAGGGGATCAGGATTGTAATCTCGAGTAGGATCAGTCGATTAAAAATAAAGTGTCGGGGTGAATAGCAAGTGTGATCAGGCCACACTAAATTTGCCACAAAAGGGCACATATTTTGACAAGTGGAATATAAAAATGTTAAAAGTTATAATAGAGCAGGAGTAGGATAAGAGGGTGAAGAGTATATAGATAGGCTAGGACAGATAGGGGAGTGATAAGGTAACTGTTTTCGGCAGAACGTTTGTCAAAAGGTTGACTTCAATTGTCCCTATTCGAGTTCGTTGTTTGATGCGAGGAATGCTAAAACATTCTGATGCTTCCGACTACGATGCCAATGAAAGGTTTGCGAATGTACCAAGTCCACTGTCTAATTCTGGGAATCTTGACAACTACTATGACAGACATCTTCGGACTAAGTTCCTTCTACTAGTTGACCCTGACAACAAGACTAAGTTGCGACAACGAAGTCATTCCATTTCTATAAATCGAAAAAAACTGCGACCACACCAAAGGCCCCAACATCTTGGTCTTCATATTTTCAACTAACAT